AATTAAATCTAACTGATGAACTAATCAATTTCAATAATCCTCAAATAAAATCATCCTATTCATATAGAAAAAAAACAAACAAATTATGTTTAAGGATCTATTCTAATTAATACTGATGTGAAATTACTTGAGGGCTCTTCTGTCTGGTGCCGGATGTTTTTTTTTTTTTTTTTTTTTCAATTGATCACGCCTTAGTCATTTTGTGCTTTGGTGTTCTATGCAGAGCATATTTGCTAAAATGAAACTGAATGAACATACATACAGAGGTTTACATTATCCACAACAGGTAATCTCTTCTTCCAGCACAAAATAACAGGAACACGCTCCGCATAATGGCATTTAACACTTTCTTTGATATCAGTCTCTTGTTAGACTCTTGTATCAAATAACCTGTTTAAAGTCTGATTGCATCTATTCCCATTTGCCCTTCATACATACATCTTTACAAGCAACTGAGACTGGGTTTCAGTTAGATCACTCCTCTTCTTTATTTCTAGATCTACATATTGCATATATAGGCAGTGCCGATACATACAAGATAACTTGGATGAAAGTTATTACACCTGATCAAATATCAAAATCTACATCACATTAACCAATATAAGTCTTGTGTGCATGGTGTGCATTAAACCTAGAAAACTACACATCTCTGAACTGGTAAAAAGCCTACTGAGTGCTGAAAGAACTTACAAATCCCAAATTAACATCAGATAACTTTAAAATTACATTGAAGGAGTGACTACTGAGTTTTACATACATGTACCCATGTTATACAACAGACTTTCGATTTTTAATAGAGTCACTAACTGATATGAAAGAAAGGTTTTGGCAATGTTAATATAATACAGATACCATTATGGTTTTGCGTGGGCAGGGTGGCGTGGGTGTGGGCATGAGGTTTGCCGTATGCCCACAGGGTTTACCTTCTGGGATAAATCCGGATACGAAGCAAGCGACGCCGCCGAGCAAAAGGACAAAGGAGAGCGTGCCCTTCCTGCCCATTCTGTGGAATTATCACGTTCAGTAACAACCTACAGGGCTCTCCTTATTAAACTTGGTCACCTTTTAAGACAGGACCCGGATCAAGTGACTTTGTCTTCTTAAGGTTCCCAGTTCTTTATTGACCAGGATATTGTCTGTCTAAACTGTAAGCTTTACATCATTCTCTGGCACTCAATAATGAGGATTATGTAGCTGGTACTCTTATCAGTACTCTCAAAGGAGTAAAGAAATATTTAGCTTTGAAGGTAGTTAAAATGACTGAATTCTTTCAAAAATTATCTTATGTAATAAAAAATAAGAAACATTCTATCATAGAAAATTCAGTTTACTGTGTTTCAGATCTGGAACATGGTTTCTTACAATATGTATGAAAACTATATAAAAATTTATAACCACAAGAGTACTACAAATTCAGCATTGATAGCCAGAGAATATTTAGATTTACACATGAATAATTTTACAACATTTCTCTTTTCAGGAGAGCCCCACGTGTATCTCCACGCATCATCTATTTTAAATCTATCAGATTTGATTCGTTCTTTTGCCAATAGACTCTAGTGAACTGCATGTATCAAGAAATAACTGATGCAGATCACAAGCAAGGAGGAGAGTGAGTGTGACCTTCGGGACGTTCATGAGCAGTTTACATGACAACTGGAGAATAGCAGTGCCCACTGTCTCCAGTGTTCAGGAAACAATGACTTTTCTATGGGGTGGCTGAGCATGTTGACTCATAGAGATGGCTGGGCATGATAACTTGCATAACAATGGTTGGGCATGACAATTTTCGGAATGGTTGGGCATGATAACTTTCAGAATGGTTGGACATGATAACTTTCAGAATGGTTGGGCATGATAACTTTCACAGTGGTAAGGCATGAGAACTTTTAGGATGTCTGGGTATGACAGCTTCTTATTCTCAAGTAGGAAAACAAAAAATAAAATAAAAATAACTTTTTGGATAAAACTATAAAACTAAACTGGCATGTAAGTTTTTTGAGTAGTTGGTCATGAAAATTCATAAGAATAATGTAAAATGACTTTCACAGAAAAAAATTTAGTCCTCATAACTCAAAATACCGTCTGAATAAGTTGACTGGCTATGATAACTCAAAATAATGGTAGGGATAATAATAACTTAAGGTTATTTTGGTTTCCAAGAAAAAAAAAACTACTGAAGATCTGTTTCTTATCTATCCAACTGAAAACTTTTAACAAAATTTAAATAATTAGGGCACTATACTGTAATAATACTATGTTTAACTTACATTAAACTTACGTAATAGTAGTGCTTTTACTCTTTTCAAAGTCTGTAATACCTTTTGGTTCCACTAGAGGTATACATAATGTGACTGATCATAAAGAGATCTTTATATACCTTTAAATAGAAAATATGTGCATGGTGTTGATGGAACAGTGAAACTTAATGCTCATGGATCTCCGTGTTGTGAATGAATATGAATGTTTAGTAAAAGACTTGAACTAAGGGTCTGTGTAT